TTCATTTAAAGATTTGTAATAGATATGCAATTAAATGTATTTGTTACATTGAATTGTGTTATGTTAGGAAAGGGCACTAGATTGTATGATAACAAAAATCCTTTTTAAACATAATATAATATATATTATAAAAATATTAATAAGTGAAGAAGAAAAACATTTATTGATCTCACAAAAGGACAAATTAGAGAATACATTATTTGGAACATACATGACACGCGCTAGACATAAAAGAAAAAAATGAAAAAATAATGCCCGGACGGAGGCTTATGAAAATTGATACAGTCAACGTTGGGATAATAAGCAGACTACCTTTTTTAAAATAAAAATGCTTAATATGGCGTTGATCTTAAAGAACACAAAAAAGAGGTTGATATATTAATAAAAAAAAACAACATTATCAGGACTTTGACACTTCTTTGAATGTATGAAAGAAGTTTAGTCTTAATTAAAAAAATCTTATTAATAAATCAAACTTTATAGTCGGAAGTCGATCATTAGGTAACCATTAATATTCAAATATTTTTGAGAAAGAAAAATATCTAGTTATTTTTGGAGCAAGAACCAAACATATCCCAGGAAGTCTTTTCCCGTCATAGACCTAATAAATTGTATAATAATAATAAAAGGAGAAAGATTTTTGTTGAATTTAAATTATTTTAACGAAAATTGATAAGTGACTTGTTATATTTCGTTTTGCAGAATATTGGTTTATTCGTCAATGAAAAAAAAATTGCATGTAATTTTTACAAATTTTCACACTTCATGTCTATTTGAACATGAACAAACAGCTAATTGTACTGTGTATATTAATCATCCATAATAATACATCCTGTGTACCCAGCAAAAATGACTATGATTATCATTTGGGATGTTTAAAAGATAAACAGGTAGTTTTTCAGGCAGAAAAGGCTTATTAAGTAGTTGTCTTGTCAAACATATGTAACAAGTAAATAACGACCGACAATAATAATTACAATACCGAAATTGCGGCATTTACCATACCCTAACTAACTATAGATGTGGGGGAAAAAATTAAACTACTACATTTGGAAATAATAAGCATGACTTAACAATGAAGTTGTAAGTATGTAATGTGGTAAATATCGCCCACTTTATTTTTTTTTCATCAAATCAAAAACTTAATATGTTATGTTCATACAAAAAGCACTAAGTAGTAATGAAATATGTACCTACCTAAAAGACATAGTTTCGTATAAAATTTAATACTTATTCGTACCTAAAATTATTAAATCAGTACACAATTGATTAAACTTTTAAAAATGATATTATTAACAGCAATGATTTTATTATTTGTTTAACGATTTATCAATATAGATATTTCCAAGATCTCCTTCTCAGTCTGAATACAATTAATAATGTGAGACAGCAAGACGTGTTTGAGTAATGACAGTAAATGAAATTCGATTGTGGAAACGAAATGAGGTCACATTAAAGCTATTTCTTTTAGTTACTAAAGCGGCGAATAATAATGCAGCCGACGTTACTGGATTTTGCGTTTAAAGTAGAAGCTACAGGAGTGATGGACGTAAGCAAAGCGAGCAAAGTGGTAATTTGTAGAGTCGCGGCGTGTGCTCAAAGAGCGAGCGCTTTGCGGTACGGTGTTTTGGTATGTACGTGACCGCGCAAGCTAAGTTGCTCTTCTCCGTTACCCGCAAATTAAAACAAATCGATTCAGCCTTAACGCTTTTTATAGGAGTTTTATTTTAATTTTAATATTGTTTAGTGAAGCTCAGAATGCGTCACGAAATATCTTATCGACTGAGGTCGTTTTGATAAAGATGAGTAGTTCCGGAGATAGATTCTTTTGTTCTTTGTTTACATGGTGTCTATGAATTCACAAATGTTCACTCAATACTCAATAAGTTTATTGTTTTCATAGATAATTTAAAATAATAGTTTATTTAACATAAACATAGTTAGTTTCACTATGGAACCTGTCAGGCTCAACAACAATACAAAAGAGGAGCTCTAGTTTTTATTACTGTAATTTATAAATAAATAAACAATGCATAATTATACATTTTCAATTTCGCTGTTATATTTTCATTGATTTGTTCTATATATTCAATATAATTACTTCTCTATATAGTACATATCATATTACATTTATTAAAATTTACGGTTTATATATTTTTGTCTTTTAAATATTCTGATATATTATAATAGCTTTTTATTAATGAGCATTTTTTAAATTGTCAATATTTTTTTGAGTCATCTTTAATTTCTTTATATAAATTGGGCAACTTGTTATGGATTTTTATTGACATGATTAATGGACTTGAAGAATGATGTTTCATTTTAAAAGGTGGTAGCATTGATTTATTTCTAGGGCTAAGAGGTTTTTACTTAACCACATAAGATAGCGGTGTGTGTTCTTAAGGAATATATTGTTAAATTTTTTATTACTCCAACATTACACAAGCACATTTGACTATGTTGAATTGTTTCTGTAATGTGATGACCATATTATAATGTATAGAAGTCTAATAGTAGTGTAAAGGACACCAAGCCACGCCGCGACAACAGCGCCACCAACGGAGAAACAACGAAACCTTCCCCTCCCCACGCGGTGCGGGGTAGCGTACCCCCACTCTAAGGAATCTAATAGGATTAACTGATTTGTGTATGAGCTAAGTGCGATCAATCAAATTGTATATAAGAAATCGATTTTGCGCAATAAAGCATGTTCTGCCTTCGAACGTTCTCCGAGTTTCTCCGAACCAAGTGTTTTATTCGAGACCTCTGCTACCTGCCCGCTTTTAAAACCAGCTACAGTCCATCTGCTACAAGTAGATAGATTTCTTGATCGTTTATAAAGTCTATTCGAACAAACCACATTTCATGCTTTCACAATATTGAAAAGCGAAAAGTGAAAATATCTATGTTAATAGGTTTTTTCTTTTTAAAAGCGATAGCTGTTTTTTTTATCATCTCATATAGAACATGTTACCTAATCGTACTAATATCTGTAAAAACTATGTAACATTCATTGATATATATAATTATATTTTGAAGTATAAGTTATTTCTAATTGTTGTTTAGTTACTCATAGTCGTTTACCTCATTCGAATGTGACTTGACATTTCGAGAGAAAAGACAAAACTGTATAACTGCGTAACGCTTACACATTGTTTATTACTATTAACAATGTGCCTATAGTATAAAAATGTTTGATACATATAATTAATAAGTAGCTCAGTGGCGTAGTGGCGATAAGTGCCGCGGCCCGCGATCGTTGTCGTTAAGAATTTCAGTAAATAAATTTTCAAATACTGTAGCAACTTCAAGATCTGATGTTACTTTTTTATTATCAATGTTTAAATTAAAATTTATATTCCGGGATTTTTCTCTTCCAGTTTCACTATTTATGATATTCCACGTCATTTTAACTTTGTCTTTACTATTTTCAATTTTTGCATTTAAATAATTACATTTGGCTAAACGACACACTTTTTTAAATAATTTAGAGTAATTTCGTACATATTCTTTGAAGTCCTCACTTGTGTTATAATTACGTTCATCATATAGTTCATAGAGCCTTTTTCTGCTTTTGTAGATTCCTGGTGTAGCCCACACACTAAAAGTTATAGGATTACTAATACTTATTTTTTTTGGGACAAAAATCTTATTGAATTCTGTACAATAAACATCAAAGAAATCTTTGTACAAATCATTGGGATTACTATTATGTTTCAAATGATACAATTTACTATCTAATTGATTTTTAAAACGTTCCAAGCGACTCATACTTTTTGACACAACTGTAATGTCTCTCCTAGCCACAAACGTACATTTATGCGGAAAGCTAACTAGTTGTCCAAAATGATCTGACGGTAGTTGTTTAATTATCTGTCTTGAAAGTGGTACTAGATCTGTAAAAATGTTGTCAATACATGTGGACGAAGTAGCAGTTACTCTAGTATGCTCCTTAAACATGTGCGCAAGATTATAGGACATAAATAGATTTACAAGTCTTGTACATGAATTGGAGTTTCCTAATAAATCAACGTTAAAATCACCCCCAATCACTAATCGTTTGCCTTTGCTATATACCTTTTTTAATGCTTCATCCATAACAGTTTCAAAGAGATCATAATGAGAAACTAAACTTGAAGGAGGTCTATATACGCTCAGTACAATCAGCTGGTCCAGCTCTATACAGGCAATCTCTATTATTTCCTCAACCGATAGGCTCACTATATCTCTACGTTCTTTAAATTTAAACTTTTTATTTAATAAAATTAGTGCGCCACCACGCATTGCGTTTTTCCTAATGAACGCGCTACCAACAAGGTGATTATTGAAGTTAAAAATGCAATTATAACTTGTTAACCAATGTTCCGTAATACAGAAAAAATCAAAAAAATCAACATGATATAATTAATCTATGCTATTTCTCGAAATATACTCGAAAGTCTTATAATTTATATGACCATGTTTGTTAATACTATTTTTTTTGTACGTTTATGTTTCAGGAAGTCATAATATATATGTAATTTTGAGATACAGGAAATTTGTGTATAAAACTCCAAATGTCGGTTTTTTAAGTAACTAAATAGTATCAATATTTATGCAAACGTCAGCTGTGTCCTGCTATGCTAGCATGTTATAAATCAGCCTTGAACTTGATGTCATGCGCCGTCATAGTTAATAGGTTCAATTAAATAATGCCTTTATTATTAAAGTAGGTTTTATTTGCGTCTATGTCGTGTCAGCGCTGCGCGCGATGTAAATTTTTAACAGAATAGTGCTACGCATGTTTATGAAATTTATAGCTTTCAATAATCTTATTATAATTATAAAACGGTTTTACTTATTAGTTATTACATATTCGCAGCACTATTCTGTTTTGAATAATTATGAAGGTTAAATAGCAAAAGAGTTTTCTTATAAAACCTACATGTAAAAGTTGCTTTCGTCTCCTCAATATATGTGGATAGATAGATAATATAAACAAAATTTCCTCAAAATAAAATTTAATGTCCATCTTCGATTGTCATAACGTCTGTATCTGGTTCATAGTAATGGTCGAGGGAGCGGGTGCGAACTATTTCCTTATACACGAACGCTGATTTACGTGGAGTACGTGTCCTCTGTGGGCTCGTGTAGTCCACTTCATACAATCCGAAACGCTCGCTGTGAAATAAAGGCTAGTATGTAGATTACTGAACATTACGAAGCTAAATTTATCTATATCTACACTAATAATAAAGAGTTTGTTTGTTTGAACGCGTTAATCTCAGGAAATACTGGTTCGAAGTGAATTTTTTTTTTGTGCTGAATTGTCCCTTTATTGCGGAAGGCTATATGTTCTCATTAGCTTAAGTTTTTTCGTTTCACAAGCCTGTTTAAGTTATGTTTAATAACATATTGAGTCGTGCGTAATTTAAATACTTAATTAAGAAACCGGGTGTCAATAATCTATTTCAATATTTTGTTTATTTGTGAAAACTTGTAATTAGCGTTATTAAGTTTATATAGTTTTTATATTCTTCATCAGCTGTAAGTTTTCCAAAAATTGTAAAACAAAATAAAATGTGAGATCACGCAATTACTGCGGAGATTAAGACTTGACGCTGCCTCTGATGCCCCGACCATCTTCATGGATATGATTTTAAGAAAATTATAAGAACGTATTGAAATTTCCCAAATTTTCTTTCAACGTCAAATAGAATAGGGACTCATGTTAATTCAAGTAGTAATAGGAGTGGAGCAGTAATGAAAAATGTTGGAAAAACGGAAAATCCACGCGGGCGAAGCCGCTGGCGGAACGCTGTTATTTTAAGAGATCGAAGGTGTCCTAATCATCAAGATTTTTATATGAAACGACTCGATAGAGAGAGGCAGGTATTCTACGTAATTACAGGTTGATTTTAACGTTCGAAGAATACTTTATTAACCTGCCGTAACGCATGGTACTGCTGCTGCTGATGTTCAAGATAAGTGAAATTCATTACAGATACAGAATAACACACAGAAGCTACAAGTTAGATAATTGAGAATGATCAGAACATTAAATTTGAATTCAATGACAGCAGCATAAAGTTACTTGGCTGAACCGCTGGGATTTAAAAAATCTAACGAGATATTAATTTAAATGTATATGGCGACAGACAAAAGAATATCTTTACAAAATATAAATCAAAACTATGAGTGAATGACAGTCATAGAATTCTCACGTGTATCCTTGCATCCATTCAAAGTTATCCATCAGACTCCACGCAGTGTAAGCCGTTACATTCGCGCCGTCCTCTATTGCGTCCAAAAGGGCATCAAGGTATTGCCTGTAGTAGGTGATTCGTTCGTCATCTTCCAAACCACCGAAAGTTGAAAATCCGTTTTCAGTGACCAAAATATTTGGATCATTGTAAAAGTCTTTGATATAAGTCAGAAGTTTATAGAAGCCCCACGGTACACTCTGTAAATATAATAAAAATGATTTCAGTATTCATTCAGTCTTTCAGTCAGTCTAATGAATATCGGTAAAAAGATATTACTTAAATACACATAGCATCGTATTACGCTCGTTTTATTACTATATATATTACATGGTGTTTTAAATGTTGTATTATCGAGCTTGTATCTAAATCATATAAAGTATAAAGTAAAGTAAGATAATAGAAAGTAACAAAAAGTGCAATCTTGGAGAGTGACACACCACGGAATTATCCGTAATACTTTGAAGTTATAAAATCAATTTCACAAAAAAGGAAGACTTTTAATAGTATTGTTTCTACATGATATTATCTCACCTTAAGCCACGATGAAGCTGAACCGGGCCATTCACCTAATTGGTATGATGCTACTCCCAAGTCATCATAAAACGAAGGTTTATCGGAGAATTGTAAAGATTCATTTTTGTAAGCTATATGAGTCGTGTAATGATTCAGACCAAAGAAGTCCGATGATCCTCGAACCATTTCAATCTCGTCTTTTGTGAATTCTGGTAATCTTGATCTGTAGAACCCTTGAGCTGCACTTTTAGCACTTATCTTTTGTTTCATTATTGGCGGAAAATCACCCGCTGTCGAGAATATTGGATGTGCGTATATACCTAACTAAAAGAATGAAAAAAGTAAATAGTAACGTTTTCAATACCTTTTTCCTATTATATTACTTAAATACTTACTTCAAAAAGAATTGCTTCGTTAGCTGCTTCAGCATGTTCTTCGGATTCTGGTTCAATCCAGCCTGAACTTATTGTGATTCCTATTACACCACCGTATTTGGGCTTGAACTCTTGGTTATATATGTGATATGCCTTAGCGTGTGCTAAGAGCAGATTTTTTGCACAAATATATTCCGCTACACCTTTGATATTTAATGCAGGGGCCATGGTCACATCACCATAACCCTGATAACATATTTCACGAGGTTCGTTCATTGTAATCCAATAAGTAACACGATCACCAAATTTCTCGAAAGCGACTCGAGCATAATCAGCGTACCAGTCGACTATATTATAGTTTCTGTGGTAAATCCCAGTGATAAAGTGTGATCATAGGTTGAATATTGTATTTGAGCATTTCGTCTATTAAATTATTATAATATTGTACTCCTGCTTCATTAATTTGATCAGGAAAACTAGAAGGAAGTATTCTTGACCAGGATAATGAGAACCTGTAGAAATCGAGACCCAGCTCCCGCATCATTTCAACGTCTCTCTTATATAAATTGTATGAATCATCAGCAATGTCTCCATTGGAACAATCTTTTATTCTACACGGGTTTTCATGTGTCAGGTGGTCCCAAATATTCTCGCTTTTCCCTAAAAATAGGCGTATAAATTAGAGCTTTGTTGAAATTAATTTCTTGTTTCAGAATAGTTTTATAGCTCCTAGGGTATTGATGTTTACTTTCATTGTCTGACAGTAAATATTTCTAGAATATCAAAAAACAATGAAAATTTACTACTAGCATTTTCCCTAGAAATTATAATTTCGAAGTAGTTATATCTTGTAATGTACAAATATAATCGTACCATCTGTATCCCAAGCACCTTCAATCTGATAGGAGGCTGTAGATGTACCGAAAAGGAATCCTTTTGGAAACTGTCTTATAGTTTGCTTGGATCCATTGATTGTCTTGGTATTTGAACCCAAGAATAATGTAAACGATATTAATAATACGCTGAAAATATTGAAATTTTGATTAAAATATATAAAGTGAAGTTGCATTTGATTTGCATTTATAACTATTCTATAATATAAAGAAAAAAAAATGTTGAAGACAGACGAGTTATTTATTTTTATAAAAGTAATAGCTACTACAATCTTTGATGAAGTTAATTTTTTAGCCAATTGAAATAAAACCGTGCTTTCAAATTATGCTTTTATTATTTTTTTTAGTTATTTTATCTTCACTATGGCAACCCTTTCATTTAATAAACATCAGGGGGGGCCTAATTAAATTTATAATCTTGTTACTAAGCTAAATATGCATTGTAATCTAAAACAGTATACATAAATTCAGCGTAATCGGTTAAGGGTAGCCGCTTTAAAATTGCAAGATTTGACGAACACACTTAATAAACACAAACACTGCAAGTTAAATTAAAACTTCTAATAAATACTGCACAATTACTACTCGTAGTTATCTAGTCATATTAAGTTACTTACAGTTTGGAGCTATGTAACATTTTGAATAATACTATAAACATGTGTCTCTTGACCGTCGGCGTTTGTTGAAATGATTTGAATTGTTGGCGTTTTATTTATATTATTATCCAATAGGTAAAAATGTAAAATGACATTTAAACTGAACAGCTCTCTCACAATGATAATCTCAAAAAGTGTTTATCGGATCTTTTTCAACTTATCATTTTAACAGCCAGTTCTGAATAAATTATTGTTGTTTATATATATATAAATTGTTTAAATACTTTTAAAATTCAATATTTTTTGCACCTAACAATCTGTCTGGCATGATCTTGCGACCGACACAGGTTCTGCCATAATTATTTATATAAGGAATTTCATGGTGGAATAGTTGATTTAAAATTTAATAAAAAAATTCTGCTTTCTATACTTAAATGTCTGTACTCTCAGATTTAATTGATGGTACCCAATGCGACCATTAGGGGACATTTTTTAGATGTTTGTTCTACTGTACAGTACCCACAGTAAAAGTGCCTGGCGACAGCATTTCATATATCTATTAGGAACTTTAAGTCCTTTGGATTGTATACATTACTTCTTATTACTTTCAATAAATACACCGTTAATGCACAAGGCTTCCGCGCAAATGTAACTCATTGGATTCCACCATCCGTAAGACTAAAAGAGCATTTCTAACCCGTGGAACACTAAAGTGGTTCACCTAGGTGTTCCACGGTTAACTTTTTGTACCCCTGGTTCACCTAGGTGTTCTCCTATTCAAAATAATGTACCTGTAGTTCACCTATCTACTGAAATAGAAGTCACATTAACCATTTTACTATTATCAAGGGTTACCTTTGTAGTATAGTATAGGTATACCTTATAAAGATATTCTGTATATGCTCCATCATGTTACTATATTGAATTAAATGCAGACCCCAAATCCAAGACCAAGGCATTATATATAAAGATAATAACCTTCATACATGTGAACCCTTGATATCTACAAAGATCGGTATTCTTTTTTGTAAAAAGTGGTGATTTGCTCTCTAAATGTTAGTTGCATATTTAATAATGAATAAAATAACGTAGGGAGATATTTAATGAACTTATATTTATAATATTATACAGAATACCAATTTATATCAGATTTATATTAGTTATATTTCAATAAAACTAAGCCTTTAGGAGACACTAAAACTTGGGAGACATTTTGATTCATGGAAGCTGCGGGACCCGATGACCGGGATTAACGCGGCCCTAGTCTGCAGCTGTTACTTATTATATCAAGCTTAAATACTAACCACATATAAGGGTGGATCCATTGTTCTGGATACGATGGGCATGCCCACAACCTAATAGAGTTGTGACGTCACATTTTCATGCCCTAAAGCGGTTAATTGATCACGTGGGATATACAGCAACTCTCTACAAATTATTAATATCAATTATGATGATAATCAGGAGTTCATACTTCCTTTTTTGAGCACAACCTTTTTTGAGTTCTGGATCCGCCCCTGACCACATACATATAGGTTTCATAGGTTTATTATAAAGATCTTATTAACGCATAGGCTACATTTTATTCCCTGAGACCATGCGGGCGAAGCCGCTATCGGAAAGCTAGTATTATGTCTCTTTCATTACATAAAAGAGACAAATTACATAAAAAAGCAAAATTTGCGAATTCAGTAGTGGCCACTAAATTTTACGTAACATACAGGAATTGGTGCAATAAGATTGTTAAACATTTAAAAAAGGAATATTATAAATCACTCCTGCAGAAGAACTATAGAAATATTAGGGGAACCTGGAGGGTTATCAAGGATATCTGTAATATAAAGCCTAATAGAACACCTTGTCGTGATCTTCTGATGATAGATAAAACTCCAGAGATTTCTCTTGATAAAGTAAATAAATATTTTACGGAGGTTGGGACGGATCTGGCTGACGTCACATTATCTAAACTAAAATCCACTGACAGTGAGTTAGCAGAGAAAATTACAGCCGACAATTCTCAGGTACACTCGATGTCATTGTATCTCACAACGCCTGCAGAGGTGGCGGGTGTCATCACCGGTCTTAGGACAGGATGTGCTTCGGGGCATGATAATATATCCACAAATCTGCTTAAAAATTTAAAAGAAATTTTAATAACACCGATTAGCCACTTATGTAATTTAAGTTTTGAACAGGGTGTATTCCCAAATTGCTTTAAAAATGCTATAGTGACCCCAATCTATAAGTCGGGCAATAGAAATCAACCATCGAATTATCGACCCATATCTCTATTACCCACATTGTCAAAGATAATAGAAAAAATTGTTAATAAGCGATTGATATCCTATTTAACAACCAAGAACCTACTAGCTGATAACCAATATGGTTTCAGATCTGATAGATGTACTGAGGATGCTGTCTTAACACTTACCTCAATGATATCTGGCTTTTTGGATGCTGGTGAACATTGTATTGGTGTTTTTCTCGATCTGCAAAAGGCATTCGATACCGTGTCTATTCCTATCTTGCTGGTTCGCCTCAACAGACTGGGTATTAGAGGAAATGTTCACGACTGGTTCTGTAGCTACCTGACCAACAGAACTCAAAGGGTATGTGTTGATCACACCTTAAGCCAGAGTTTGAGCTGTAGCTACGGTGTTCCTCAAGGGAGTACTCTTGGCCCAACACTTTTCTTAATTTATATTAATGAATTGTGTAATGTGAAGCTCACTGGCGCAGAGTTGTTAATGTTCGCAGATGATACTGCAATTATATTTCATGCACCCACATGGATTGCTGTGCAGCACATTGCTGAGATGGGCATGTGTGTTGTCTCTTCCTGGCTAGAGGATAATCTTCTGTCTCTCAACATTAATAAGACCAAATATCTTTGTTTTAGTATGAATAAAACCTGTTGCCCGAAGGAAACTTTTAAGATTGTCATCCACACTTTTCCATGCAACCGTTCCCACAACAATAATATTGTTGGATGCAGTTGCACTATCTTAAGTAGAGAAAATCAAATAAAGTATCTCGGCGTAATGATAGACGACAAACTTAGGTGGGATTCGCATATCGCGTTGGTGACTTCGAGATTGAGAAAGTTATTCTTCGCTTTCAAGAATTTGAGGACTATAGCTGATAAATCATTGCTTATTCAGACCTATAAGGCCTTGGGTGAATCTCTTCTCTCATATTGTATATGTGCGTGGGGTGGTGCAGCCTCCAGTATTTTATTGCAGCTTGAAAGAGCCCAAAGAGCCGTTCTTAAAATAATTTTATTCCTCCCAAGACTGCATCCTACCACTTTGGTCTATGACATGGCTCAGGTGCTAACGGTTCGCAAGATTTTTGTTGATAGATGTATACGGAGGTACCATCGAATATCAATACCTAAATTGTCATTAGCTCACAGAAGAAGATTTCGTTGCCCCCAAGTTGTTACAAGAAGTACATATGCACAGCGATTTTATAATTTTCTTGCGCCAAGATTCTATAATATAATTGAACCAAAACTAATAATAAGTAAATGTAATAAGTATCATTTGAAAAAAAAGATCTTCGATTATCTGTTATCGGTAAGTAGTGAAGAAGTTGAAACATATTTAAAACCAGTACGTTAACTATTTATCTCTCTCTCTCTCTCTCACACACACACACACACACACACACACACACACACACACACACACACACACACACACACACACACACACATATACATATACTAAATAAACTACTAGGCATGCACGAAAACTCACACATAGTATGCACGAAAGTTTGTAACCATATATATTTTTTTTGATTTTTTTTACATTCCTTATGATATTCCAACTTGTTTGTACTTAGTACCTATCTAATTATTGAAATGTCATTGGGGAGACACTGGCTTCTATAATACAGGTAAAACTAGCTTAGAAGTCAGGGCCTCAAATATTTATGTAACTGGTGTTTGTACAAAAAAATAAAGGAATTATTATTATATTATATTATATATTTGTTTATCTATACGAGTGACAGAGTAAACCTTAGTCCGCCACTGATCTGCACACGTATAGAAACTAAATAATATTTTGTATTATGTAATATTAAGATTATAGCTTCAAATGATAACAATAGATTACAATGCTAAGAATTCACTGAAATAAATTTGTTCGAGTCGATTTGAGTGGGCTTACATAAAAACAATAATATCATCAAACGTGAATTAACCGAAACAATCAAATTTATGATAACATAAACCTAGCTTGTGCGTGTCGATTCTTAATAATTCCAACAGCCCTAAAGTCCAGTGAAATTCTTCATCCTAGCCTAACAGGCAGGCAAAACTCGCACTACCCCGAGTAAACGCTTGTCTCTCCAAGGCCCTTCTACAGCTAAGTAAACCATTATTGCGCCTGGTAACAGGTGCTATCCCTGGTCATGGCAACTTTAACAGGCACCTTTTCAATCTAGGTGTCACTGACAGCCCCTTGTGCAGACGATGCATGAGGGCAGAATAAACAGCCACTCACGTCTTGATGGAATGCAACGGAGTGGCCAACTACCGGGCAAAGTACCTTGGCTCGCCAGGCAACCTCTAGGAGGCCATCGAAACGTGAAGGCGCTAGGAGTGTTTCTGGCAAAGCTGGGCGGGCTGGAGTAGTATCCGGCCACACACCCTCCATACGCAAAACAGGCGCAATTTTGACGTCGAGTTGCGGAGACGCCCGTTGAAAGAAGAAAAAGAACCTAACCTATATTCACACAAAAATCAGAAAAAATCCAAGTTCAAATTTAACGCAAAGAATTACAACGTAACAAACAAACACACTTTTTCTACAATAATAGATGATAAGTACTTTCCAACATAGTGATTCTTGAGGGATTCGAGAAAACATAACAAAACGTATGAACCGGGATTTACGAACCGGCTAGAGAGCCCACACGGGAACTGACCAAGTAATAAGATACTGAACGTATTCTACACGACCGGTTTTACAAGTAGAAATTACACGCAGTTTCCCAACGTTTAGTAACTTTAATAGTATGACGTTATAGC